TGCCGCTGCTACTGCTGCTGTTGCTGCTGTTGCCGCTGCTACTGCTGTTGCTGCCGCTGTTGTTGCTGCTGCTGTTTCCGCTGCTACTGCTGCTGCTACTGTTGATGCTGCTGCTGCTATTGCTGTTGTTGCTGCTGCTGCTATTGCTGCTGTAACTGCTGCTGCTGTTGCCACTGCTACTGTTGCTGCTGCTGTAGTCGCTGCTGCTGTTGTTGTTGATGCTGCTGCTGCTGCTGTGCCTGCTGCTACTGCTCCTGCTGCTAGTGCTGCTGCTGTTGTTGCTGCTGCTACTATTGCTTCTGTTGCTGCTGCTGCTGCTATTTACTTCTGTTGCTGTTGCTGCTGCTGCTATTCCCGTGTTCTGCTGCTGCTGTTGCTGCTTCCACTGCTGCTGCTGCTGCTCTTGCTGCTTTTGCTGCTGCTGCTGCTATTGCTGCTGATGCTGCTGCTGCTAATGCTGCTTTTGCTGCTGCTGCGGCTACTGCTGCTTTTGCTGCTGCTGCTTCTATTGCTGCTTTCGCTGCTACTGCTGCTATTGCTGCTGTTGCTGCTGCTGCTGCCTTTGCTGCTGCTAATGCTGCTTTTGCTGCTGCTGCTGCTGCTATTGCTGCTATTGCTGCTGCTACTGCTGCTGCCACTGCTGCTGCTGCTGCTGCTGCTACTGCTGCTGCTGCTATTGCTGCTGCTGCTGCTGTTGCTTCTGCTACTGCTGTTGCTGCCGCTACTGCTACTGCTGCTGCTGCTGTTGCTGCTGCTGCTGCTGCTGCCGCTGCTACTGCTGCTGCTGTTGCCGCTGCTACTGCTGTTGCTGCCGCTGTTGTTGCTGATACTGTTGTTGTTGCTGCTGCTGTTTCCGCTGCTACTGCTGCTGCTACTGTTGATGCTGCTGCTGCTATTGCTGTTGTTGCTGCTGCTGCTATTGCTGCTGTTACTGCTGCTGCTGTTGCCACTGCTACTGTTGCTGCTGCTGTAGTCGCTGCTGCTGTTGTTGTTTCTGCTGCTGCTGCTGCTGTGCCTGCTGCTACTGCTCCTGCTGCTAGTGCTGCTGCTGTTGTTGCTGCTGCTGCTATTCTGTTGCTGCTGCTGCTATTTACTTCTGTTGCTGTTGCTGCTGCTGCTATTCCCGTGTTCTGCTGCTGCTGTTGCTGCTGCCACTGCTGCTGCTTTTGCTGCTCTTGCTCCTGCTGCCGCTGCTAATGCTGCTATTGCTGCTGCTGCTGCTATTGCTGCTTTTGCTGCTGCTGCTATTGCTTCTGTTGCTGCTGCTGCTGCTATTGCTGCTGTTGCTGCCGCTGCTGCTATTGCTGCTGTTGCCACTGCTGCTGCTATTGCTGCTGTTGCTGCTGCCACTGCTACTGCTACTGCTGTTGCTGGTACTGCTGCTATTGCTGCTTTTGGTGCTGCTGCTTCTATTTCTGCTTTTGCTGTTGCTGCTGCTGCTCCTATAGCTGCTGTTGCTGCTATTGCTGCTGCTATTGCAGCTGTTACTGCTGCTGCTGTTGCTGCTGCCACTGCTGCTGTTGCTGCTGTTGCTGCTGTTGCTGCTGCTGTTGCTCCTGCTGCTGCTGCTATTGCTGTTGCTGCTGGTGCAGTTGCTATTGCTGCTGTTACTGCTGTTACTGCTTTTGCTGCTGCTGCTGCTATTGCTGCTGTTGCTGCTGCAGGTGCTGCTGCTATTGCTGCTGTTGCTGCTGCTGCTGTTGCTGCTGCCACAGCTGCTGCTGCTGTTGCTGCTGTTGCTCCTGCTGCTGCTGCTGCTGCTATTGTTGTTGCTGGTGCTGCTGCTATTGCTGCTGCTGTTGCTGCTGCTGTTGTTGCTGCTGTTGCTCCTGCTGCTGCTGCTGTTGCTGCTGCTACTGCTGTTGCTACTGCTGTTGCTGTTGCTCCTGCTGCTGCTGCTATTGCTGTTGCTGCTGCTGCGACTGCTGCTGCTGCTGTTGCTGCTGCTATTGTTGCCGCTGCTACTGCTGTAGTTTCCGCTGCTGTTGCTGCTGCTGCTGCCACGGCTGCTGCTGCTGTTGCTCCTGCTGCTGCTGCTGCTATTGCTGTTGCTGGTGCCGCTGCTATGGCTGCTGCTGCTGTTGCTCCTGCTGCTGCTGCTGCTGCTGCTGCTATTGCTGTTGCTGTTGCTCCTGCTGCTGCTGCTATTGCTGTTGCTGCTGCTGCCACTGCTGCTGCAGCTGTTGCTGCTGCTATTGTTGCCGCTGCTACTGCTGTAGTTGCCGCCGATGTTGCTGCTGCTGCTGTTGCTGTAGCAGTCTGCTGCTTTCGCCCTGTAAGCGGCATGCTCTAGAGCAGTTGCTGATCTATGTGTGCAATACACAGTGTTCTGCACACTATCATGATCATGATAGTGTGCAGAACTCAGTGTTCTGCACACTATCATGATCATGATAGTGCAATACACAGTGTTCTGCACACTATCATGATCATGATAGTGCAATACACTGTGTTCTGCACACATAGATCATGATCATGATGTGATCTCAAAGTCATCTTGCTGTGTACATACATAAAACTATGTGGCCGCCGGAACCGGTCCGGTTGGTCAGGTTATTACCGGACCAACGTTTTGGCCACCAGCACAGGTCTCCTACTATGGTGATCATATGGACCCACTATGTTGATCATATGTACCTACTATGGTGATCATATGTACCCACTATGGTGATCATATGTACCCACTATGGTGATCATATGTACCTAGTATGGTGATCATATGTACCAACTATATCATACACGAAGTATAGAAGGCCATGATACTACCGGACCAATCAAAAACTGCTTCCAGCGCTCCTGACTATGGCACAAGAAGAATGTGGACAAGCAGGAGACTGTCATGTTGCAGCGAAACAATTTGGCACGATCTTCGATGACACCATCAAAGCGGCTTTATCGCAACATCCTCTATTCCGTCAACGGGAAGAAGGCATTGATTTGTTGATCACACTTCCCTGCTGAGCATCTCACCCGGCTTTTTTGAAAGCCAAACACTTTCTATCAAGGGAAAGACGCATGTTGACATTTGTCTGTGATGATGTGGCTCAACAATGAAGTGGTAGTTGGTATAAAATCCGTCGTGTTGCTTAATAATGTTGTATTGTTTGTTGTACAATTGTCATGTTCTCTGCACTGTACATTATCATGTGTTTGAAGCATTTTCGCATGTTTCCAGCTTTCTGCACTCGTAACTCTGAAAGTAATTTTCAATTAGATAAAGGCGTGAGCAAGGCTGAACACGCTATATTTGGCATCATAGTTGTGTTCTTCTCAGTGTAGACTCTCAGCTGCTCATGCATATCTGGGACTTTCCCTGCATGCACTTGAAGATTACATTGAAGTTCAATAACGCCCACGTGTACATTGTGTTTGCAAGACCAATGGTGCTTTTCCTCATGCATGACCTCATGTATGATGTCAAACGCATAATGCATGGCCTTGTGTATGACGTCATGCACAACACCATGTATGAGTTCATGTACAGTGCATGTCAGAATGCATGACCACATGGAAGACCTTATGCGTTGGCCCATATACTATATAGGCATGCAGAAGTGCATGACATACATTGTAAGCACATCAATATACAGTGGATGTGTATTCTTGTGTGGGTGTTCATTTATGCACCATTCCCTTGTCCAGGTGAAGCGACGACAAATGGAAGCCCATCTCTCGCAGCCAGACCATATGGTGTACATGCTAAGAGACAGATCACGGTTGAAGAATGAAGTGTCTTCGCTGGCAAGTGTTGTATCACAGTTGCAACAGGACATGCAGATGGTGAGTTGCCCGCCGTGATTCTTATCTTCGTTGTAGGGTTGGAAGGGGAACCGGCGAGGTGGGGGGCAGACCTGTTTGTATTCCAGCACATTTCGCCACACCCTGGATCTCAACTCCTTCCTAATGCCATTTTTTTGTATTGAGATAGACTTAGCAATGACAACAGTTTTGGAAAGAGGGAAGGAGACGGGGGGGGGGGGTGACGACCCACAGGACAAAATAAGGACAGTTGGACAGACGACCAGACAGGCAAAACGAGAAAGATACAGACATACACATACACACACACACACAGATACACGCACAGACAGACACACGTACAGACACAGACAGACACAGACAAATAGACACAGAAAGACACAAACAGACACAGACAGACACAAACAGACACATACAGACGCAAACAGACACAAACACAGACACAGACAGACACATACAGACACAGACAGACACAAACAGACACAAACACAGACAGACACAGACACAGAGAGACACGGACACAAAGAGACACAAACAGACACAGACAAAGTAGACATGCTAGAAAAAGGTGACATGGAGGATAGGTGGATGGCAAGTTGTGTTCTTGTTTCAAACTCTGTGTATGCTTACAGCTACGCCCTCACTCAACAACAGCAGGTGCATACTCCAGTCCAAGAGAGCAGTATGTCACCGACATACCCAGACAAAGCATGTCTTCTGAAGCCTATCCTGAAGCTCACGTGCATGTACAGACTACAGCAACACTGCCACCACCACAGGCTGTCGGTGCACTCGCTGAGAAAGTGGATAGTCTGCAAACTGAAGTAACCAGATTGCGCATGGTAAGTCAACGAGACTGTACTGCCCTGGGAATTGTGACCACTGCCGTGGTGTTGCTGTGCTGTGCTGCTTGGCACTGCTGCCTGGCACTGCTGCCTGGCACTGCTGCATGGCACTGCTGCTTTGTGCTGCTTTTTCTACTGTCCTCCATGGCCTACAATGTGCAAGCACAAGGGCAGTGAAACCTGTCTAAGACGACCGCTCAAGGGACCTTCAAAATGTGGGGGGTTACCAGGTGGTCTCTGTTACCAGGTGGTCTCTTAATACAGGGTTAATTGACTGGAAATAGCATCCCTTGGTCCTGGTTGCAGTGGTCTTCTAGGACAGGTTTTACTGTATGTATAGTTTATGGGTGGGTATGGGCAGGGGGCAGGGCAGGGGGGGGGGCAGGGCAGGGCAGGGGGGGGGGCAGGGCAGGGGGGGGGGGCAGGGCAGGGCAGGGCAGGGTAGGGGGCAGGGGAGGCAGGGCAGGGGAGGCAGGGTAGGGGGAGGGCAGGGGGAGGGGTATTATCCCCTCTAGGGTCATTTTGTAGTGTTACCGTGCTCTGTAGGCGGTGAGTCATTGCCAGGCGGCAGGATTGAAAAACTTGTTCATACTCTGAACTACTTCTGCACTATATGGCAGTCATGATGGTCATCCTTGCTGGAGGAAATTGCCTGCACGCACGCAAACCATTCAAGGAATGCTTGAGGCGTGGGGTGAGCAAGTGGATGCATGCCGGTTGCATCTCTCCTCATGTCCTTTTGATGATTTCTCTGCCCGTGTTCTTCATGGGCCCTTTTTCTTCGCCTTGCCCACTCTTCTTCATCGGCACTGTGATACTCCCCTTGCCCACTCTTCTTCATCGGCACTGTGATACTCCCCTTGCCCTTCACTGTACTGTGATAGTCTTAACAGTACTCAATGACTGCGGTTCCTATGGCAACGTCAGTGGGAGGTAGCACCTCTGCAGTGTACAGTGTATGCTGTGGGTGGGATGGCAGTGCTGACTGCAGTACTATTCTACATAGGTGTGTTGCTAGACACTGGACGGCCCTTACAGTGCAGCATAATCAGGTAGTGTATACACCGGTATATCCTTGCAGTGCAGCACTGTTGCTATGCACTGTTCAGCCCTCGCAGTGCAGCCAGTGTATGCACTGTACGGCCCTTGCAGTGCATTGCACAGCCCTTGCAATGCACTGCACAGCCCTTGCAGTGCAGTGTATCCACCACTCGTAGTGATATACACTTGCAATACACTGGTCTACGCTGCACAGCCCTTGCAGCTTTGTGCTGTGCTGTTATAAAGGAGTGCCCTGGCAGTGCAGGGCATGCACAATGGCATATCGTATGACATGCACTGCACATGTTCATGCTCCGCAAGCACCAAAAGCTGGACCAAGATGGCAGTAACGCAGTAACGCTGATCGTTTCTCCTTTTTGACGACCGTTGCAACTTGTCCTGACTGAGCTGCATCCATGCCTGGGTGTACTTAGGCAGTGTGTCTGTCTGCTCTCTGCTCTCTGCTCTCTGCTCTCTGCTCTCTGTTCTCTGATCTCTGCTCTCTGCTCTCTGCTCTCTGATCTCTGCTCTCTGCTCTTATATACACTTTACGTAGCTGTACATGACAAACACCACTGTACAAAATGACGTTTAACAATTTCGGCAGTCATTGTAGGAGCAACTACCTTCTTATAATTGTTGCCAGGACAACTCTATTTTTTACCGAGCTTGAGTGAAACATAACCTGCCCAGTTCTCAGCCAGCACCGTAACGACGTTACACCACTGGTGCACATTCATAATCATCAGAATCCTTTCCAATCATTTGCAGTGTAAATATCGTTGAGGTAATAGCCGATGCACGTATTACTCACCATCAAGAGTGCATAGCCACAGTGTGTGGCTATGCTGCTTTTGGTCCAAGGCCAATCCAACATGGCGGTTCTTGCCACGTCAGCCACACTTGATCCTTGTTGCCAGGTCGACCAAGTTCAATCCTTGTTGCGATAGCGCACTCGTTGCAATAGCCCACTCGTTGCAATAGTGCACTTGTTGCAATAGCGCGGGGACCGGGCGGGGAGGGAGAAGCGCGGTTGGACGGGGTTAGGCACCGGCGGATTATGCCGGCATAATTATTGGCATAATTTGGTGGTTGAAAATTTGGAGCATAATTTGGCATCCTTTCGGAGGTAGGAGCATAACTACATCGGATTGTACTACAGTTCTAGTATGTAGGCTACACTGTCACAATTGTGTACAATGAAGCACCTGATCAGTGCTGGTGGTCTGCATGGTAAAGGGTTCGGAGGTCATGCAGATAGTGCTTTCAATGAAAAGCAGGGTAGAAATCAAGGCAATACATCGTTGCACGCTCGAACTCGTCTCCTTCAAAGTTCTTTCTCACACTGATACAGATCATGTAGCAGAAGATGCGAGTGAATCAGCCTTTTTCAGGTATCCCGGGGCGAACGAGATAGTGATGGGTAGTCCGCAAAACTCCTCGTACATGTGCATTATGCATGTTACGAAGTCATGACCTCTGGACTTAAGCAGCCATGACTGTGCAGGCTATGGATATTGCTCTAATAAAATAAATAATTGAGATAGTTGATATTCGGTCATGATGGAAGGAGAGGTGGTGCTACGGGAGAGATGAGCTGATTATTCTCAGGGTGAGGGTGACATCGGTTGGACGAGTACTGTAAAACTGGAAAGTCTAACGACCCAAAAGGTTTTAAACATTCTTGTAATTTTGGCATGATTACGTGCAGAAAGTTTAACGATGGCTAGCTGGCCACCCATCTGTATGCGCATCTTGACACAGACCTCTAGCGATAATTTTTTTTCAAATAACGACAAAAATTGGCCGTTAAAATGTTAGACTTTCCGGTTTCACAGTATGACGATTACGAAGACAATTGAACATGATGATTTTGAAAGGTATCTCAAACTAATTTGGCAATGAAAAAATCTGTTTACAAAAGAAGTCAACTAATGAATAGAAGAAGTAATGTTTTCTCTTTCCCATGTTGATCTCTAGCATGCATGGACACCTTGGTATGGGGATACTCGTGTATTTTGTTGTACTTATGGCCGCTTGCAAGTGCGAAAAAGGCACAATTTTCCGAACTTTGAGGCTTCGTAAGCACAACAGAGTGATTGAATATGTATCCCCGCGTGCCAAAGCATAATATGAGGATTTTTGCGAGCATAATGCGAGAATCCATGAAAGCATAATCCGCCGGAGCCTAGAGGGGGGGGGGGGGAGGAGGGGAAGAGCGGGGGGGGGGGGGGGGGGGGGTATTCTGAGTATTACCCGGGCACAGAGGTTGGAGAGCTGACTAAGATGACTATGGATTATGATGACAATGTCTATAGCTGGGGGGGGGGGGGGGAGGGGGGGATCACAGGGGTATGGAAGGGAAAGCGGGTGTGTGTGTGTGTGTGTGGAGGGGAAGGGGGAGGCGGAGGTGATAAAGGGATTGTACAGCTGGTGAGGTGTTCCCCGGGTTCTGTTGTAGCAAGGCAAGTGCCAGCTTTGTGGTAATGGATAAATGGGGTACAGCCTACAGGGGTACAGGGTACAGTGGTACAGGGTACAGGGTAAAGGAGTAAAAGGGTACAGAGATACAGGGGTACAGGGTACAGGGGTAAAAGGGTACAGAGATACAGGGGTACAGGGATAAAGGGGTACAGTGGCACAGGGGTAAAGGGGTACAGGGGCGGGCTACAGAAATTAGGCCACCCTTTTCCCATGCTGTGTAGGAATGATGATGGGTGCTGGGGACTGCCAAGGAGGACTGTGAGGGCTTGTGCTTTCATTATGCTCATCAGTATTGACTTCTGCTTCTGCTGCTGCTTCTGCTGGTGATGCTGCTGGTGGTGATGCTGCTGCTGCTGCTGCTGGTGATGCTGCTGGTGGTGATGGTGATGGTGATGCTGCTGCTGGTGATGGTGGTGGCCTTCTCTACTTGTGCTCTCTGTCCCTCTGTCCTCTCTCTCTATCTCTATCTCTCTCCCTCCCTGTCTCTCTCTCTCTCTCCCTCCCTCCCTCTCTCTCTCTCTCTCTCTCTCTCTCTCTCTCTCTCTCTCTCTCTCTCTCTCTCTCTCTCTGTCTCTCTCTCTCTCCCCGTCTCTCTCTCTCTCTCTCTCTCTCCTGTCTCTCTCTCTCTCTCTCTCTCTCTCTCTCTCTCTCTCTCTCTCTCTCTCTCTCTCTCTCTCTCTCCCTGTCTCTCTCTCTCTCTCTCTCTCTCTCTCTCTCTCTCTCTCTTTCTGTCTCTCTTCTCTTCTGCTCTCTGCCTCTCTCCCTCCTACCCTCTCTGCCCATCTCTCCCTCCTACCCTCCCTGCCCATCTCTCCCTCCTACCCCCTCCCTGTCCATCTCTCCCTCCTACCCTCCCTCCTACCCCCCCCCCCCTACCTGCCCATCTCTCCCCCTGCTTTGCTCCTATCCATCTCGCTTTGTCCTGACAGGTAACAGACCAAAGCCAGCAACCAGAGCAGGAAGACGGCAGGAAAGAGAACATGGAAACGCGGGTGAAGACATTGGAAGGAAAGGTATCTTCGAATTCCAAGTAAGACCTGTGCACCTGCGCACAGAGTATACTGTAATCACTGATCAAATCCTCCACACACTATTCCACATTCCTCTTCACGAAACTTCATGGGAGTCTCTTTCGCAAAACTAGATAATCTATGCCTTCATGAAACTGGAGAGGCTTGCCTCTCTCAAAACTACACGTTCTATATTTCCAGGGGCGTTGCTAGACAGGTTTCCCTTTCACCAAACTAGACGGGATCCACCTTCAGGAAACTGGACGGGCTTTCCCTTCAGGGCACTTGAGGGGCTTTCCCTCAACTAAGCTGGAGGGGCTTTCCCTTCACAAAACTAGATGGTTTCCTCTATGCTTCCATAGTACTTCTACTGCAATTATATCGATTTGTATTGCATGTGTGTGTGTGTGCGTGAATGCATGCGTGCGTGCGTGCGTGCGTGCGTGCGTGCGTGTGTGTGTGTGTGTGTGTGTGTGTGTGTGTATGTGTCCGTGTTCTGTGGCAGATCTATTGGGTACACGGATGTACAGATGGCTGATCTTGGTCTGCGTGTGGACATTATTGATGTCAAGTCTACTGACGGAGTCCTGGTTAGTGGAGTACACCAAAACTACTGCACATTCAACACAAGAAAACTAACTTTCGCCATTTGCAAAATACATAAACTCAGCCTTTTGCGCCCCTGAGACAGATTTTCCACAGCAGGAAACATGCACAGTGAAATGCTCCACAGCGTAAACAGCAAGCGAGCCATGACAGCCCGAAGAAAGCTGTTTGAATGTGAATCTTTCATGACCGTCTGAATGTGACGCTTTCATGACCGTCTGAATGTGACGCTTTCATGACCGTCTGAATGTGCCCTCTGTGGCTGCAACTCATCTATCTTCTCTTTGTTCTGAACTACTATGTTCTGGTATGCAGGTGTGGAAGATTGGTGATATTGCAAGACGAACACGAGAAGCACAGAGCGGACGAACACCCAGCCTGTACAGTGCACCATTCTACACATCACCATGTGGATATAAGATGTGTGCCAGGTATGTTGTGGGTAGTGTGATGTCATGCACACTCTAGAGATGCAGTGTGATGTCATGCACACACTAGAGATGCAGTGTGATTTCATGCACACTCTAGAGATGCAGTGTCATCTCATGCACACTCTAGAAATGCAGTGTGATGTCATGCACACTCTAGAGATGCAGTGTGATCTCATGCACACTAGAGATGTCGTGGATCATTGAGCTGGCTAGCACTGAACTGTTTCCCTGTACTAATGAAGTCATCATTGAAGGGCATGTTCAAATGCTCCTGCAGTACTGTAAAAGCCATTATTTTAACGAGGCGCATATATAATGATTTCCCAAAATTGACTAGTTTACGTGTACCAAAGGTAACGATTCTCACTCATTCTCAACGCTCAATAGGACAGTATATGTATCGATCTCTGTATAACGATTTCTATTTTAACGACAGATTTCTCCTCGTTACTGTAAGACATGTTATTATAACGAGTCGCAAATTTAACGATTGTCCAAAACTCATAGGTTAACGAGAAGATATGTTAACGATCTTGCAGTATTCTGCCATATCCACACACAGCATATAATTATGAAGCAGTATGGCCTCAACGGATCTTATTATAACGAAGAAATGTCATCCGTTAAAACGTTAGATTTGCTTCCTCGTTATATATACATGTCTTACAGTAACTCGTTAGAGTTAGCACTTCGTTATATATATATATATATGGCTTTTACGGTATTGAATGTCCGAACTCAAAGGTGTTCCTCTATGTCTATACAGACGTGGCAAGCGAAATCCCACACTTGCCATAAATCACTTGCCATAAATCACTTGCCATAAATCACTTGCCATAAAGCCTAGTTCACATTCGACAGGGCGCGACGGGACGCGACGTAACGATCGACGGGACAGTCTGACGGTACCCAATGTGAACACCAGGAACGGGAACGCAACCGTACTGCCGTACGGATCGAGAAGTGACGGGAAGAATTGGATCAGTTAAACTTTTCATACCGTAGACGGGCGTAGACGGTCGTAGACGGGGACGCAAGCGTACAAAACGGCTGCATTTTTTAGTGTGAACAGGAGACGGCGTCGTGCGCCGGTTACTCCCGATTCGTGCTTGGAAATTTTAGCATTTCGAGCACTGCGCTTCCCATGATAACTTGCAGAATAGCTAACACGTTTTGAGTTGAATTTTAGCAAAATAAGGTCTGATGTCACTTATGCAGTGTTTAGGGATAGTTCAGGAGCGTGACAGACGAACTGTTTTATCATTTCCTGAAGCTATTATTTGAATGGCACACCTTTCAAAGCTACTTTTTGGTCTTCATGAAAAACTGGTATTGTGAACTAGATTCCGCTTCATTCAAGGAGAAAAATTGAAAAGAAGTCCCGAGATACAAGAAATTAGGTCCAAAAGTCACCCCGTCACGGACCGTGCCTTATAACTCGCGCCGTTCGCTGTTGAACGACGCAACGACTGCAGCATGTCGTGTCGTACGAATTGTACAAGATTGTATAGCTAACCCCAGCCGTCGCGACAGGCCCTTACGTCCCGTACCGTCAGCGTTGCGTAGAATGTGAACTAGGCTTAAGGGACTGCACCATGCTGTGTGCAGCCCCTGCAGCCCTGCATACGTACAGTACATGTGTTACATACAACTGTTATCTGTCTCATGACAGCAAGGTTCACAAGAAAAGTTCAAAGGTGCTGGCAAAATGAATGGGAAATGGATATCAATACTCCTAATGTGTACCATGACTGTGAACTGTGTGTATCTACTCTGTGACCTTTTCAACCTGTTTGGGATGCATACGGCTCTAATGTACAAATTAGGTACAGCTCTTTACATCATTGATGTCCATTTGTGGCGCTGTCCCCTGTGGCAAGTGTCGGATTTCACTTGCCACGACTGTAATTACATGGGCTATACCAGATACAGTTGATCACTTTCAGTTGGCCGGGTCACTTTCAGTTGGCCGGGTCACTTTCAGTTGGCCGGGTCACTTTCAGTTGGCCGGATCACTTTCAGTTGGCCGGGTCACTTTCAGTTGGCCGGATCACTTTCAGTTGGCCGGATCACTTTCAGTTGGCCGGGTCACTTTCAGTTGGCCGGATCACTTTCAGTTGGCCGGATCACTTTCAGTTGGCCGGATCACTTTCAGTTGGCCGGGTCACTTTCTGTTTTAGTTGTCCGTACCCTCTGCATTTGGTCAGACCCATTGCTATTGGCCAGACCTGTACTTCGGGAGTGCTATGTGGGTGCAGATTTGCATCCGTGCATGTGTGCATGTGCATGTGCAACCATGCATATACGCATGTAGAAGTGGCTGTAATAAAGATGCGTGGGCATGCAAATCATTGGCTCTTCATGCCTTTGCTTATGTGGCACTGTCCTGTCTGGATTTGATGGACGGGTGTGACTGGTTTTGATGGACGGGTGTGACTGGTTTTGATGGACGGGTGTGACTGGTTTTGATGGACGGGTGTGACTGGGTGTGAGTACGGGTGTGACTGGTTTTGATCTAATGAATGGTTACTAATGGTTGTGAAAGATTTTTAACACTGCTGCTCGTTGTCTGCTTTCTCCATGTCTTCTCTCTCTCTCTCTCTCTCTCTCTCTCTCTCTCTCTCTCTCTCTCTCTCTCTCTCCCCATATCTCTCTCTATCTCTATCTATCTATCTCTATCTCTCTATCTATCTCTCTTTATTACTCTCTCTCTCTCTCTCTCTCTCTCTCTCTCTCTTTATTACTCTCTCTTTCTCTCTCTCACTCACTCTTCATTACCTCTACACACACCACAAACGCAGGGTATACCTGAATGGAGATGGCATGGGCAAGAATAAGTGTGTCAGTTTGTTCTTCGTTCTGATGAGAGGTGAGAGTAGTGTAGAGTAGTGTAGAGCAGTGCAGAGTAGTGTAGAGCAGTGTAGAGTAGTGTAGAGTAGTGTAGAGTAGTGTAGAGTAGTGTAGAGTAGTGTAGAGTAGTGTAGAGTAGTGTAGAGTAGTGTAGAGTAGTGTAGAGCAGTGTAGAGCAGTGTAGAGTAGTGCAGAGTAGTGCAGAGTAGTGTAGAGTAGTGTAGAGTAGTGTAGAGTAGTGTAGAGCAGTGTAGAGCAGTGTAGAGTAGTGTAGAGCAGTGTAGAGTAGTGTAGAGTAGTGTAGAGTAGTGTAGAGTAGTGTAGAGTAGTGTAGAGTAGTGTAGAGCAGTGTAGAGTAGTGTAGAGCAGTGTAGAGCAGTGTAGAGTAGTGTAGAGCAGTGTAGAGTAGTGTAGAGCAGTGTAGAGCAGTGTAGAGTAGTGTAGAGCAGTGTAGAGTAGTGTAGAGTAGTGTAGAGCAGTGTAGAGTAGTGTAGAGTAGTGTAGAGTAGTGTAGAGTAGTGTAGAGCAGTGCAGAGTAGTGTAGAGTAGTGTAGAGTAGTGTAGAGCAGTGTAGAGTAGTGTAGAGCAGTGTAGAGTAGTGTAGAGTAGTGTAGAGTAGTGTAGAGTAGTGTAGAGTAGTGTAGAGCAGTGTAGAGTAGTGTAGAGCAGTGTAGAGTAGTGTAGAGTAGTGTAGAGTAGTGTAGAGTAGTGTAGAGTAGTGTAGAGTAGTGTAGAGCAGTGTAGAGTAGTGTAGAGTAGTGTAGAGCAGTGTAGAGTAGTGTAGAGCAGTGTAGAGCAGTGTAGAGTAGTGTAGAGCAGTGTAGAGTAGTGTAGAGTAGTGTAGAGCAGTGTAGAGTAGTGTAGAGTAGTGTAGAGTAGTGTAGAGTAGTGTAGAGTAGTGTAGAGTAGTGTAGAGTAGTGTAGAGTAGTGTAGAGACGGTGCATGGTTGTCTGTAGACACTAAGAGCAGTACAGAAACATGGCATGATTGTCTTCTGACTGTCCGTCTTCAAGTATGTTAGGATGTGCATTGTTCACAGAAATTGTATGCTGTGTGTGTGTGTTTGTGTGTGTGTGTGTGTGTGTGTGTGTGTGTGTGTGTGTGTGTGTGTGTGTGTGTGTGTGTGTGTGTGTGTGTGTGTGTGTACGTGTACGTGTACACACAGGCGAGTATGACGCACTGTTGCCGTGGCCTTTCCAGCAGCGTGTATCAATGATCATGATGGATCAAGCCGAGGGAACCGGTATTCGTAGAAACATCGTGGAAGTATTCAAGCCGGAACGCCGATCGGCCTCCTTTCAACGACCAATGTCAGAAATGAACACAGGTAAGCACATCACTGCAACTTACATAGTCATGGTGGAATGTTGACAATGGCATGCTGTCATGGGTGGTTCTTTCTGTTGTGTTTCCCCTGCAAGCCATTGCTGGACAAGACAAGGACTCAGGGTTCTAGCCAGAGGGGTAGGGAGGCTCAGCCCCCCCCCCCCCCCCCGGTACTCTGGTTGGGTACCCCCCCCCCCCGCTACTCTGATTGGGTACCCCCCGCTACTCTGATTGGCTAACCCCCCCCCCCCCCCCCGCTACTCTGATTGGGTACCCCCCCCCCCCCCCCCGCTACTCTGATTAGGTACCCCCGCTGCTCTGATTGGGTCCCCCCTCTCTATGGAAAGGTGGCACACCCTACTCCTTTGTGGATTTTTGTTTGGGGTTTTCAGGTCATTGAACTGTTGAAAAATGCAGTATATAGTCCCTAACAACAGAGGGTTCATAAACAGGCATACTTGTCTGCGGTGGAGTTGGGGTACGACAATTTTGGAAAATGGATAAAATGGAACAATCAACTTCATGACTATTACCGCCGAAGTCGCAACTTCTAAGTTTGGATAAAATGAGATACAGCAAGAGTACATAGCCAATAGTGTGCGACTTCTATCTTGACCTGTGATGGGTTCCTATCTTGACCTGTGATG